TTTTTTTCCCATGGCCCCCCCCCAAATCCCACCAGCCCCCCCTACCTTATAAAAAATGAACGGTCCCTAATGTAATCTTGAGGGGTACGCTTCACTTGGTACCTGTAGAAGGTGAATGACGCACAACTAGACTCCTTTTTTTATATGGGAATATTTTTTATAAGAATATCGAGGCTGAAATTTGCGGCATTTTAAAAATATGTTATTATTAAACCCAAGTTTGAGATTTTGAAAAGAATATAATTTTGTGTTGAATATTTGTACACATGCACACCGTACAATTATATGTTTTTAAATAAACCGAATAAAATTATTCCTTTCTCTAAACGGCAAATCTAGCCAAAATGCAACAGAAAGGGCACGGTATTACTACAAGCTCCCACGACATAGCAATAATACGGAAATTCAACTACACTGCCTTATTTATGCGGCATTATATTTATTCGAGCAAGTTAAATGGCCTGGCCATCTCCATTCAGGATTTTATCAGTAAGCTACTCATTAAATACAATCTTGAAAATTTGTCTCAATCAAATGTCTTAGTAAGAAGTACTCCTCCCTCCTCAAAGTCAATCTACAGTATAACGTACTGTAAGTAACTGTATATACAGCAAGTAATGTAAGTAGAGTATTATGTTGTTAGCAGTATAAGTAGCCCGTATTGCAAGTAATTGTATTTCCTGTAAGAAACTGTATTCAGTATTGTATTGCCAGCATAAGTAACCCGTATTGTAACGTAAGTAATGTTCTGTAAGTAGAGGAGCGTAATGAGTAGAGTATTGTAATGTTTGTAGAATTGTGTTTTGTAAATTAAAGTTATTAAAAAAAAAAAAAGAAAAAAAAGAAAAAAATTATTCCTTTCTCTAAACAGCAAATCTAGCCAAAAAGCAACAGAAACAGCACTAGTCGTTTGTTCGATGCTAATAACATTTCTGCAAGAAGTTATGCTTGTGAGCTGTGCGTGATATCAGCCCTTAATGCCTGCAGACTAACACCATGCATCCTGACGCTGAATACATTCGAAATCAGAAATGTTATACGTTATAGTCTAAGAATATTGTTAAGAATATTCTCAGCTAAAATCGGCAGAAAAAAAAAAATATTCCGCCTCGGACGGAAAAACAATATTCTTATAAACAAGAATGTGTCCTAATCAGGAGCCATAATCGGGGACGGAGACCGTAAGCGCGCGCCATTTCAAGTATTGGGGTTGTCCCCATGATATGGGACAATAATTCTATTTTTAGA